AATTTATTTTTAATTTATAATCTTTCTTTTGAATTTCAATTTTCCTATTGTTTAAAATTTATAAATTTTTTCTTATCACTTTATATTTTTATATTTAAAAAGCTCATATTATCTTTCATAAAATTTAAAGCTTATATTTTTTACAGCTTTCGAAATATTTTTAAATATTTATCACTCAATTTGGACATAAGCTGTTATAGTATTTGCGTTGATTTTGCATATTTCTAACGGCTATGTATTCTCACAATATTAAATACACGCTTTAGACACTAACAATAAACATTTATGTGAAGCAGATGAGTACACAATAAATGAAGATAAGTCGGCACTTAAATCTTTTTTAATTTTTTTGTTCGTAAAGTAAATTTATTTATTTATTTCATAAGACACGTTTACCGATGATGTCTTTATTAATTAGGCAAAAAAAAAAAAAAAAAAAAAAAAAAAAATTAGTTTTTCCATCAATTTCAGAAATTTAAATTACTTTATTACTTTTTAATTGAGGCTTAACCTTTAAAAACGATTTTCACTGTAATATTCTAAAAATATTATTTTTTTGTATCCGCTAAACTCATGCTTTAAAATGATCAGCATGTTAAAAGCGAAAAAATTAAATTTTTTCATATTCATATTGTAAATATTTTGCTGCTGTTTTTTTTTTATGTATTTTTTATGTATGCACAATTATTTTGAACCCTTTTCACTTTTGTTCGTGAGGGAAATTTGTCACGATCAAGTTGACAATTGCTTCCAAAACACTACTCAGATTACCAAGTGCTTTAATCCCATTACTTTTCTCACCAACAAATACACACCCACACATTAATTTGCTTATGAATAGGCATATTTTACGGCCTGTCAACTGCGAATTCACCTGTTGAACAAAACCTAAAACTCAGCAGTAACAGCAACAACAACAGCAGCTCTACCGAAAAGGCTCAGATTGCAAGTTAGCAGCAATAACGGCAACAACATTTGCAACAACACAAACGATGCAAATAAAATGTAAGAACGCGAGTGCACTGGCGAATTTGGAGCAGCAAGAGAATTAGCAACGAATGAGCGATTTATAGTACATAGATGCTCCGAGCGCAGAGCGCGACAGTCTGTAGGCGCAGGTAAACCGTGCTGCGTTCAATCAGCGTACAACAATAATAATAAAGGCAACAACGAAAACTACGATAGTCCAAAACACCTACCAACTAGGCGGACGCGTTGAAGTTGGGGCGAAAAACTTGTTTTCACTTCACGTCTGCAGACCTGACTCGAGCGAACAGGCAGGCGAGCAAATACACAAACAACACAAAGATCAAGCGAGTAACGTAAGCTCCGGATAAACACGACAACGACGACAAAGCTGCGCGCGTGTTTAAGTACAATCCTCACTGAGTTTCCTCAATGTGTTTGTTTTTGTTATTGTTTAATACACGGCGTTTACACGGTAGACAGCACTCGCAAATCACGTTGACTGGACACAGCAAAAGTTCGTTCAACATTGAATCGTGTCGACACCGAGAGACAAGTGCAGACCGAGCTGGCTTACATACAACACCTGAAAAGTCGGCGGAATGCAATGGCATCGAAATAATGGCAAACAGCACATACGAAAGGCAACTTGCATATATGTAGAACTGGTTATGGAAATGTTTGGCGCAGCGGTGAGCACAGGTGAGTAGTGGATGAGACAGAGAAGATTTTTATGTTCTCTGGTTGAATTGTCTCTTGTGTCTTTTGTTCGGTTTGATGTTGGAAGGTTCGCTAGTTAGTTGGATAGTTAGCATTTTGGGGTTTTGGCCAACTGGTTCGATTGTTTGATTAGTTTTGGATAAACAGGTGCACAGCTGGTTTTCAGTTGCTCTCACTGTAATTTGGTGAGGCAAATAGAAACTATTGTTGCGGGTGCATGAGTTGTGAATGCTAGTTTTAAGTTAACATATTATGTTAAATGGTAACAGGGAGGACAACAGTAGAGAATATTAACTACATTTTTTACATTTTCTGATTACATGCTAGTTGTATGTTAACATTCCTCTGTTAAGTTAAATGCTAACATGAAGCGACAACAGTGGAGAATGTTAACTACAGTTTTGGTACGAGTTAACATAAAATCAACATTCTCTGATTAACTCAGAAAATGTTTTTTTTAACATTCTCTGTAGTAAATATAATTTTTTAAGGGTGGGTTTCAGAGGCAAAAAAAAAGTTTTTTTTTCTTTCATTTTGTTTTCATATAAGCAATAGTATATTTCAAAAACAAATACGGCATATCAAAGGTACAAATTTGCGCAATGTCTTCTGAAATTTTGATATAAAAATGTTGAAAATTCTGCCTTTGAGACCTCATCTCACTGGGTGCCTCCAAAAAAAGTGGCCTCGATGTGGACAGTATAATTTCTTATTGGTTCATTTAAAATTAAAAAAAATTTTCTCTTAGTGGAATTTTCCCTTATAAATTTGTAATAAAATAACGAAGGAAAAATAATTAAAGCTGTTACACCAGAGGAGGTTAATTAAGAAAAATATAAACATCGATTTTTTGACCCGTAAATAATTTCGGTGTATGAGCGTTTTTTGAATAACATTTTTCTTGGAACAGCACCTTTCGAAATTGCTTGAGTGCTTAAAAATTATTAAATCGATAACTATCTACCTACCTACCTATCTACTGGTATACTGATAAGATAAAAAATCGAGTATAGATAGGCCCAAAATTATAAAGGCTTTTCTCAAATCTGGCCGAAATAACTGCCGGATCGAGAACATTGTTTTAGGGATTTCAGAGACCGTGAAATTTTTTCTACTAACAGTAATGTTATAAAAATAGAAAAAATTAATTAATTTTAGAAATATTTAATAATTTGAAGAAAATTGTAAAATTTAGTATAAACAAATAAAATTTAATAAAAGGTCCTTCAAAATATTTTTTACAATCTGAAATACAAATGAAACATTCGCAATCGATTTTCAAAATTTGGTCATAAATTTATATTCGTATTTTCACTACAATTTTAGTATTTCATATTAATGTATGTAATGTAATAGAAATCAAGCTATCTAGATCTTAAAATCTTAAAAGTTTATATAAAAAAGCTAACTTACATACAAGTTAATTCGGCCGCAAATAATGGACGGACCAAGCGATTTCCTTTCAAAGTAAAAGCGAAGAAAAAAAAATATTTTTCATGTAATAAAAAATAATCTCTAATAACTGTACTAATACGAACAGTGTCTGTATTCCATTTAGTGCCAAACCCAAAACCATAATCAATGTCAAGTTCAGCTTGGTGAACCAACCCATATTCCTTCTGACTCTACGCTTTGCTTTACCTCATTGGCAGTTATTGCTTTCGATGATTTTTGCTCCATCTGTTTATAGCTCTCTCAAGTGATTTTCACTCACATCCTTTTCTAATAATTTATACAATTTTCAAATTAATTATTCAAAATGTTGATTGTGACTTTTGAATAATTCACTTAGCCTTGAATTGCAGTCACTAACACTTTCTGTCGGCCATACTTTCATTGTCATCAAGCAATGAACAAGAAGCCGCTTAGGTCAATGGGGTTATTATATTTATAGTGATGAAAAATTTCTAGTAAAATTTTGTAGTATTTATATAGTTTCATCATTAAATGGGAAGTGGGCATGGTTGTTATATAAAAAATCGGATGGCGAATTAAACGTCAGACATTTACCAATACAAATATTATTACTAACACCAAAACTATTTGTAATACCAGTGAGAAAGATTTCCGATATGAATATCATTACCACTATCAACACCAATACCAATATCAATAGCATCAGCAATATAAATACCAATACCAATACAAATTTAATATCAATTAGTAATAACATTGTTAATGACAATAAAAATTTCAATTCCGATTTGAATACCGTTATAATTACCATTCCCAACACCGATACCAATAGCAATACCTTTACCAATACCAGTACCAATACCAATGCCAATACCAATACCAGTACCAATAATAATACCAGTACCAATACCAATACTGATACCAATACCAATACCAATACCAGTACCAATAACAATATCAATATCAATACCAATACCAATACCAATACCAATACCAATACCAATACCAATACCAATACCAATACCAATATTATTTTTAATACCTATGCCAAAGAAATAGTATCACGACTTAATTTGTTCATATAAAATTTCCATAAAGGATATTCAAATTACAATTTCAAAATAATTCCTCTCATCATTGCTATAACAGATAACCGTTGTTAAAAATAGATGATTTCTTTTACGCCTATGTGTCTTTGAATGTATAATTAATTATTTTGTATGGTTTATAAATGTGAATTAATTCAACTGTGACCATGAAGCCAAAGAGTTAAGACCTAGACCAATTTATAAAAGGATATTTAAACTCAAATAAAATTATCAAACGTTGCTTCACCCTTAAGGCAGCAACATCCAGTGCTGGCATTTTAACCAAACTTCAATATGCATTCGCATTTGTACTGGATAACTAAGCTAAGTTGGCTGCTGCTTTTCATGCTGGTTTCTTTGCAACGCTCCACACAAGGAATGTGAGTGTAATTATTTCACTTAGCGGTGACAATTATTTTACAAAATTTATTTACTTTATAAATTTTAGCCCTTCTTTTTCGCCCAATGAGTGTGAGCCGGGCAATTCAGTAGATCCCAGGGAGTGTGCGCATGGTGAGAACACAATTTATGTTTTCTTATTTTCCAAATCGAATAAATAATTGTAAAAATTTCAACCCGCTAGGCGCATTCGACTTAAATATAAACCGCACAGTTTGCGAACCGCGCATGGTTTGTTATAGGAATATAGKCGAGCCTTGCCATGAGCTTGGCGCTAGCAGCAATTGCTTGCCATCTCTGGTTTGTAATTGTTTTAAGTGTAGTGAAGTGCTGAATGACTTATGCCACACAAAAATGCCACCGATATTGAATATGTCAAAGCGAATGAGGCCGGTTTCAACCGAATACAACTATTAAGATGTCGTTGGATGCTGGAGCACTAACAAGTTTTTTTTTTTTAAACGGACGAAGATGAAAGGGCCATACCAAAGAACTCACTCTTGAAACTTAATAAACAGTTATAAAAAATCGGATATAAATCAAAATATCATGCCAAAATGCCTAATATTCTGTATTATAAATGATATTAACCTTCAGTTTATATATATGTATGTAGTGTAGGTATGCTCTGACCTGTTAGTAAACTTAGATATGTTCAAAACATAATTCCTGTTAATAAAAGTGATTGCAAATTACAAAAATTTTAATGTTTTTTATTTTCATTAAGTCTCTTCCACAGTCTAAGCAAGTGCTGAGTGGTATTGTATATATGCCAAAGCCGTATTCTCAGAAAAATAAATTCCCAGTGAGTCGACCCTTGGCTAATGTCGGCTTTATGCTGGTCTCTGGCATTCCTAGTGTGGACGGCCATCAACATCAACTTGAACATCTTATGAAAACCATTTTGAAAGATCATTTGGTCCTAAGAAAACGAAAGCATGATTGGTTCCAGAATAACAAATTTTTTTCAAAAAATTAAGTCGCCAGGATGTCATGAATCTATGCTTATGATTCGGAAACAGTGTCAAAGCAGGTCGAAAATCAAAGTTATGATAACAGTTTTCGTCGATTATGGAGATGTGGTGCATATTGTTGAAGCTATTCATAAAAAGAGTTTGAAGTTATGGGCCAACAACTCTCTTCAGTAATGCACCGTCGCGTCATGCCTTCGTGAAATTGTTGCCAAATTTTCAGCCAATATTGTGCCACAACCACAACGACTGAAGACTGATGAAGAGACTAAACATTGATGGCTATTTCGGAGATTGACTTTAACAACTTTTTCAAGGATTAGAAAAAACGTTGACACAAGTGCATTGGAGTCAAACTTTATTTTACTTTTATTTTACCGAGGCAATAAAACCCTCAGATATGAAAGCGCTTTTATTCAACAAAAGCACGTGTGCAAAATTTCAGATCCACATCCCTAAAACTAAGGAGCTACTTCGCGTGTATACATATAGACCGACCATCTGTCAGACAGACGGTTCTGAAAGAATCAACTCAGTTCCAAATTAAATATACTCTGTTCAAGGTATACAAATTTGCTATCGGTGTTGTATCTTATTAAAGAAAAAGGAACTCAGTAAGAAGACAACGCAATTCACATTGTGATAGATTTTGTAATGCTTTGGAAAGGCTAGCGAATTGATATCCAATCAAAACGTTTATAAAAACTACGCTTTGACACGAGGGAATACCGCAAGGTATTCAAGTACTGCTTCTATCTATGTTAATAGTTGCATCACATATCTAGCCATTTTTATATATACTATATATTATATATTAAATATGTAGTTGCATAATTCAAACAAAGACATGAATATTTGTATTCACAGTGAGAATACATTTTGACGCTCAAAAATCCAAAAACGTGTGTCACACAAGTCAATGCTAATCAGTTGAAATTATAGGGTCAAAATACGAAAATCTCATGCTTTACAATTTCAAATGTTGTCTACACCTACAACAACACATATATTTACAGAATAGCAACATATGTTTGCAAGGCTTTATTAACCTAAGTCCACTTGAGTAAGGTGTTTGTCCGACTAAATGGCTTGTAATACCCTTTCGACACGCCATTAAGGTGTTAAACACACATACTCATAGTTGTCAAGACGGAAATGCAGCGGACCTGCCATGCATGGTTAATAAATCGGAATGTTCGGAATATTTTAACACCAAACAATGCCAAAAGAAATCAGCGAAAATTACAACGTAAAGATGCAACAACATCATAAATGCAACGCTTGCAACAGTTTTCCTTTTGGCTTGCCGCTCATGAACTGAAATGAAATTCCGACCTCTGGTCGGAGCAGTTAAACGGCAGCGAGGCTCGACTGGCAGGTAACCCAAATGTCAACGCAACAACAAAGAAAGACGAAGAAGAAAAATGTGGAAAAACTTTGGGGGAAAACTAATGGCAATGACGACATGCAGTAATTGTTGTTTGCACGTGTTGCACACACCGAAAAATTCGTTCCAAATGCCATTACCTGGAAGAAACGTGCAACACAATTGAGGTGAACACGAAGTGTGTGCTACGTTGTTTGCTGTTGTGCGATGTGACAAATAGGAAAATCCAAATAAAATTCTCAACTCACCGCAGAGCGACGAACGAGCGCATGAATGAACTAACGCTTGAATGGCCAAGGGGCATTAGGGAGTGTTGTTGCATGCGGTGAATGGCGTAGTATAGCCAAGTAACTGCAAGTAATTGTCGTGAGAATCAAGCGGAGTAAGGAAAAAACGTGTAGTTTTAATATGAAAAAAAAAAAATGAAATAATAAGAAAAAATTGTTGGTAGTTAAAAGAAGTCGGTGGTGAAGAAGCAGCCGCACAATTGCATGCACGTTTTCCAATTGCACTTGCGCACTGAACAGCACATACATCGAGGTGTTCGACGATGCTAGTGTATGGGTGTGTCTGAGTTGTTCTGCAGCACAGTCTCTTGTCTTTTACAGATAGCGAGCAATCGTGGAGAAGTAATGCCGTCAAATGAAAATATAAATATATGAGGTTAAAGTGGCATAAGTTTGTGAATGTAAATTCATTGGTAGGAAATATTAATTTACATAAATGATAATGCGACAATTTTAGTACTATAGTCCAGTATAAGATTTACATAAGTATAATTCAAATATATAAAGCAATAGCTAGCAAGAATTAGTTAAGAAATTTTTATCAATAATTTTAAATGCATTTCGTTTTTCATAGAAATATGTCTTTCTTTTAATGCCTTCAATACCATTCATAAATTTTTTATATTCAAATATTTTTGTATTTATTGGTTTGCCAGGAGATGGCATAACTCCTTTATTCTTCTTCTTCTTCTTTATGGGTGTAGTCACTGCTTATACGCTTATAGCCGAGATTTTAACAGTGCGCCAGTCGCTCTTTGGCGCCAATTGTATATAGATTCCAAGTGTAGCTAGGTAGAAAAGGTTTCCGCTTGCTCTTGCCAACGAGTAGCTGAAGTTTCTTAATTCGCTGAACTATATCAATGTCGTCGTATATCTCATGCAGCTCTTCGTTCCAAGAGAATACGATATTCGCCGTGCGCAAAGGACCATAAATTTTGCGCAGAACCTTTCTCCCGAAAACTCGTAACTCATCAGAGGTTGTCATCGACCACGTAAATAATGAGTGACTTATAGAGTTTGGTTTCTGTTCGTCGAGAGAGGACTTTACTTCTCAATTGCCTACTCAGTCCGAAGTAGCATTTTACGAGTGTTGGATTTCGTGGCTGAAATGGTTGTTGGTGTTAATACTTTCCAAGATAGACGAAGTTATTATTCTAGTGTTCCCATATTCCGAACAAACGTTAGGAAGCTATTGTTCTTGCATTATGCTTGCAACAAGCACTGAAACTTGCAACAAACACAGCCAACATAAACGATTAAAGAGACAACACATTGGTCCAGGTGTGTGCAAGCAGTAGGCTTAGTAATGATAATCGAAAATCAGAGGTGAGCATACCACAAATATTTCTTAACCGTTACATGCAGGAAATGCCGGAAATAAGGAAGGCATTAATTCGTTGAGCTAATCTTTCGCATGCTCCTAAGTTCTAAAGAGGAAAAGGAGAAGAAAAGAGTTGGAGTAGTAGAGAGAGAAAATGTTGCTAGTTCAAAGTATGATATTAGGCTATGAGGCAAGCAGGAAAGTATACGGCGATAAAGTATGCGCTAATCGCTATCGCAGCCAACATTTAAGGTACGCAGGATGTCCCGGCATGTTGTTGCAAATTAATTGAAAGACATAAAGTACAATGCGCTGCGCCTTTCTCTTGTGCCACCACGAAGCTTTAACTACTAATAATATTTGCTCAAGCGCATTGCGGTTATTAGCCATTGCGCCATACCCGTGGAATTTGCTTATGCACCAGAAGAGACTTGAGCAGAGGATAGTGGATTGTGATGAGAAGAGATGACTTTCACTTTGTTGCTAACGTATGTTTAAAGAATAAATACATAAAATTTCACAGGGCAGTTAGGCTGATTGCTACATACATATTTTTTGGTTTATAATGCTCAAGACGGTAAATACATAATTGTGATTAATTTTTGAAAAGAACACTGTAAAAAAAAAAAAAAATGTAAAAATGTAAAATTGGAAACGGTTACTGCGTGTCATTTTGAATATTTCATATAATTTCTATATGAGATCCCATAATTTTCAGCTATCTGCTAATATAATTTTTTTATGCACGTTAGAACTCAAATTTTGTGCAAATAATACCAGAAAATGCTTTAATTTCGCAGTCAGTTAATAAACGATCTATTTTGAAGAGTGCCGATTTTGGAAAAGGTGGCTCTAGCTATTCGTCTATGTTAGCTATGCAGCCAGGGGTGGATATATTGCATGTATCGTTCTACAAAAATGTCCTGCCCTGTACATATTTTTTGAAAGAGCAATATTGTAGGGTACTACGTTTAAACGAAACTTACTGAAAAATTCAAATATGCTTGGTTTGGATTGAAGTAAATACAACAGGTAAGGTCAACTCTTCTGTGAACTGTTGTGAATGCTATTTGTGTCAAACTATTTGAGTACCAGATTCCAAGATGAACAAAACTTCTTTCGGTTTGTTCAGTAACAAATGAGAAATGAAGTTCGCAAGAAATTACATTGGATTTGAAAATAGTGGAACCTTTTGCTGCATTACTATGATTCACAATTTTTAATATCTTTAAAGTCGATTAAGAACAATTATTTTTCACGATATATTACTGGGGATATTGAAGTGGGTCATTTCTTTTCCCTGACGCACCAAACGCTTTACTCGAACTTCTACTAACAACAATGTCTGTTGTCAGAAGATGAATCATGTTCCATAAGGATAACACAATACCACATACATCGATAGTGTTTACATGCAAAATGACAACACAAAGTTAAAACAATTTATTTTTACGAAAATTTCTCCTAAAAAAATACCATTAGAAAAACCCGTTTCAGTAAGAAT